GAAGAAGTCACCTAGTTGCCATCCGCTCTGTCCCAATCTCCGGTCAATGATTGAGTCCGAACTCACCTAAAACGGCGTAGAAGGGCAAATCTACCTAGTCAAAACTCTTGTTTAGAGGAGCCCCTGAAATTTTGAAAGCTTCCTCGCCTTCACCCTATGAGTTCAGGGTGCTTTCTTGGCTCGCCTTCACTCATATCATAGGGTTGTGTTCAGTACGATCTTTAGCCTTTCTTCGTAAGATCCTGAGAACTGAAATGCCTAAAGATGGTGCTCAAGTCAGAAATGCGATCTTCTAGGGCAGGAATTCTTATATGCTAATTTCCTGAAATCCCTCTCATTTTGTCAATAAGGGAGAGGTTGGGAGATAGCTCTTAGCCTATTGGTTGCTTGCCTGTGACTTGACTTCCTCGTACTCCTTCTCCTAGAAAGCGACTTCTTTCATTCCTCGATAGCTAGGTCTTTGCCGACTCTTAGCTTTCTAGGCGGGTTGGTGTTCAACCTTCATTCAATAGGGCTATCTATCCGAAAGGTCTTAATAAAAGAATCCCTGTAATAGAAGTTCATTCCTTAAAGACCTTCCTAATCAGTAATTTGATGGTCTTCCGTAAAGACTTTCATGTGCACCTTCCTTCATAAGGACATGTAACCAGGCGGGTGACTCACTCGTAGGTAGCACTCTCCGATGCTTTGACTCCTTCTTTTAGTAGTTCCTTTGAAGCTAGTAATATCTGAAAGCTTCCTCCTGCACTGCCTTCGCCTAAGCGGGGCTCGAAGCCAGGCGGGGCCTGGAGCGGCGGGGCCGTTATAGCGGGCGAGGCCCAGGATAGCGGGTGTGGCCCAGTATGTGCAGTATGTGACTATGCATGGTATGTGGTAGGGTGGGGAACTCACTAAGCTTCGTACTTACGGTTTTCAGTTTTGGTTTCAGGTACTTTTGGTAGCGGAGGGAAGAGCTTGGGGTGATCGCATGGCACACTCCATAGATTAGACAACCTGGGAACGTTTACTCTGATAATGAACATGTGTTTTGAAAATTTATACTCAGATTATGTTTTGGATTGATGCCTTTGCTTAAAGTAATGTTTTATTAAAAGAAATTTTTGGTCTTAAATTTTGGATCGTTACACAATTCAATCATGCTTACATCCACACACCACAGTAAGGGATTCCACCTGATAAAAACACATAAAAGCTCATAGGTTTTCAGAATATGCATCATGAAGTGGGTGATTCCAATTAATGCTTGAAAAATTCAACCATTGTTCTTCATTAGTAATATAAATAAAGAAAATCATTTGCCCCAAGTACTTACAGGACATAAAGGATGGCAAGATCAAGCCCTCATTTGCAGTTATTTACACTATTCAATCTAATAACTCATCACATGCTAATTCTTGGGTCCTTGATACAGGTTGGGGATTTCACATTAGTTTTGATTTGCAGGGACTAAAAAGAAGTGTGGATGTGGAGCACGATAAGATAAACTTAATTATGCACTACTAGAAAACAGCCCTTTAATGACGCGCAAACAATGACACGCGGTGATTTACGATACGCAAAAGCATGTACCCTAAATATAATGTCATCTCTTCTAAAATTTGAAGGATAAAAGACACGCTTTTTGTTCGCCCTAAAATTAATGTCCAACAAAAAAATTAAAAACACGGAGGGCACTTACTTAAAAATGGGCGTCGTCTAGAAATGACGCTTTATATTTTTTTTAATGAAAGGCGCTTTCTCTTCTTTTGCAGCCGGGGGGGAAACAAAAATCCCAAAAGTTTGAAAGGCCGCCATTGTTATCCTCTCCCTTATTTCCATCGTTCTTTTCTACCTCTCTCTCTCTCTCTCTCAGTCTCTCTCTCTCTCTCTCACTCACTCTAATACCCAAAAAAAACCTAATATCATCACCAATCCTCTTTTCTCCCACAACAAAATCGCAATATCACCAAATCTCTGGTCCCGTCTTTTGAACAGATCAAACCGTAGGGGTTCTCGATTTCTCTATGTTGATGTGTGGTGACACGAACAAAAAAAAGAGTGTAGTGCCTCTACCTTTCAATTTCATTTGTCGGTTGCTTCAAATCGACTCTTGCTTTCTCTCTCACAGGGTTTCTTCCATCTACAATATTTCTTTCCGTCGATGAAGGTTTCTCATGATTTTTTGTTGTACTTACAAGCCCTAGGTCCTGATGCATGATGCGTGCGTATCTTTCACCTGATGCATCCCCTCTTCCAGTACTGATCAAGCTTCGGAATGATTTTTATCCCTCCGCCTTCCCCTGCGAATACGCTCCCACCTCCCATAATGTCAAACTCCTAAAACTGCCCATGATTGATTGAAGTTTTTTCTTGTTAGTCTTGAACCGAAATCAGTTCGACGATTGATTGAAGTTTTTGGAGAAATTTCGCCGATAAACTCTCACAAGGACCGCAGTTTTGTGTCTCTAGTATGTAAAGATTGGTACAACGCTGAGTGGTGGAGCAGACGTCATGTGTTTATCAGAAATGATTACTCGGTGCCGCCGAAGATTGTAGCCAGGAGGATTCCTCAGATTCGGAGCGTAACCTTGAAGGGGAAACCGAGGTTTCCAGCTTTTAATTTAGTACCAGAGGATTGGGGAGCTGATGTTCATCCATGGTTGAGTGTTCTCGCCAAAGCGTATCCATTCCTAGAGGAGCTGAGACTGAAGAGATTGACAGTTTGCTACTCATTGCAGGTAAAATTTCTACTTTTATTCTCGTAAATGTTAAAATTCATATTATAATTATTTCAAGATTGATGTGAATTTAGGGTTTCGGATTGTGATACATCATTTTTTACTTCTGTTAACAAAAAGATGATGTTGACTTTTCATGGTCAAACATATCAATTTTTTAAGTCTCGAGATTTATGTATATTTCAAGTTCTTGTACATACAAGTTGTTACCCTTTACCCTATTTTAAATGTTTTATGTTCTGCCTTTTGTTTTCATGGTCAAACCGGATGGATAATTGGTCTCTTGAAAAAGTGTAAGTGCTTTCTCTGCAGTCCTAAATGGGAATGCTTCAGGGATCTTGGGTCTAATATTTGTTGATGAAATGTCTGTTTTAGTGGTGATTTCCTTCTTCTTCTTCTTCTTCTTCTTCTTCTTCTTCTTCTTCTTCTTCTTCTTCTTCTTCTTCTTCTTCTTCTTCTTCTTCTTCTTCTTCTTCTTCTTCTTCTTCTTCTTCTTCTTCTTCTTCTTCTTCTTCTTCTTCTTCTTCTTCTTCTTCTTCTTCTTCTTCTTCTTCTTCTTCTTCTTCTTCTTCTTCTTCTTCTTCTTCTTCTTCTTCTTCTTCTTCTTCTTCTTCTTCTTCTTCTTCTTCTTCTTCTTCTTCTTCTTCTTCTTCTTCTTCTTTTCTTCTTCTTCTTCTTCTTCTTCTTCTTCTTCTTCTTCTTCTTCTTCTTCTTCTTCTTCTTCTTCTTCTTCTTCTTCTTCTTCTTCTTCTTCTTCTCTTCTTCTTCTTCTTCTTCTTCTTCTTCTTCTTCTTCTTCTTCTTCTTCTTCTTCTTCTTCTTCTTCTTCTTCTTCTTCTTCTTCTTCTTCTTCTTCTTCTTCTTCTTCTTCTTCTTCTTCTTCTTCTTCTTCTTCTTCTTCTTCTTCTTCTTCTTCTTCTTCTTCTTCTTTCTTCTTCTTCTTCTTCTTCTTCTTCTTCTCTTCTTCTTCTTCTTCTTCTTCTTCTTCTTCTTCTTCTTCTTCTTCTTCTTCTTCTTCTTCTTCTTCTTCTTCTTCTTCTTCTTCTTCTTCTTCTTCTTCTTCTTCTTCTTCTTCTTCTTCTTCTTCTTCTTCTTCTCTTCTTCTTCTTCTTCTTCTTCTTCTTCTTCTTCTTCTTCTTCTTCTTCTTCTTCTTCTTCTTCTTCTTCTTCTTCTTCATTGATTCCTTAATTTTTTCTGTAACACCTACAATTCCTTCATTTTTAAGATTGCTAGATTGCATACTTTACCTTATTCCCTGCACTTAAACTATGTTTGCTTAAAACAACTTTGATTATTTTCTCTTAATTGAATATAAATTTTTGTTTTGTGATGATTTATGATGACTCACTTGATGTTTTTTGTGTGACAGGTGGTTAATAGTTCGATCTTTGCTCTATCAAACACATTGATCACAAGCAACACATCTACTTCTAGAAATTCTAATTATTTTGATACTCAAGAGATGTTGCATGGTAGTTCTGGAAATGAGATGCTGATGAGTTCAATTACTGGAATGCCCTTGGTCATTTTGACCACTCTCTATATTTTTGATGTTAATAGGTATGTTATGATTTGTGATATAAGTCACATGTGACTCCTCACCTGTCTTTAGGTGGGGAAGTGTTATGATTGAATCTATTGATGTGGTAAACTTGCCTCCTTCCTAGGATATGTCTATGCTCCCAAAAACTACCTCATTGTTAGTTCTAGTTTGGTTCTAGCTAAGATCAAGGTATAAACTTGCAAAGAAAAGCTGCCAATTCTTACAAGCTTGTCAATTCTATCATCAGTTTATGAACCCCATTATAATCTTGATTTTGTGTTTTTTTTTCTAGATGGATAGCAAACATGAAGCTGCTAGTGCTTATGCTGATGCAGCTCACTCATACAAGAAAACAAGCACCAAGGGTATAAACTAAAAAGATAATGATTTTTAATCCATTTTTTTTCCTAGATATCTAAAAAAATGTTTTCTTTTTCTTGTTATCTTAAATGTCTGCAGCGTGCATAGGTAACCTAGAGCAAGCATTAAACATTTTCATGGAAATTGGAAGACTCAGCATGGCTGCCAGATATTGCAAGGTACATACATCATAGGATTATCATTTATTTTAGTTTTTTATTTATTAATTTTAATTTAGTTTTTATATAATTTGGTTTCACTATGTAGGAAATTGTTGAGTTATATGAACAGGAGCAAAATTTGGAGCAAGCTATTGCTTACTATAATAAAGCATCTGATCTTTTTCTGGGTGAAGAAGTAACAACTTCTGCAAACCAATGCACACAGAAAATCACACAATTTTCAGCTCAAGTGGAACAGTAAGTTTCATATATATTAATATGGATTAAAATCATGAGTAATAATACCCTGAAAATGTGTATGTTGTTGTAGCCTTGCATGGCAGGGGTTAAAAGCTGGCACCAAGAACTAGAAATATGATAAAATTAGTGAAAAAAAAGATGCTTACTCCCATTGAGGTATTGATTATTATTTATAGCAAATATACTTTTAAGTACTTATTCTCTTTAAGTTTTATTTTATTTATTTACTTTTACCTTACAGGTGCTTTGCAAATCTTACTGAATTCATACTATATTTCCATTATTGTCGATCTTTGCGATTTGAGGACAAACCAGATTATTCTTACTTGAAGAGGCTTTTCCGTGAACTTTTCACTAGAGAAAGTAGAATTTATTTATATTTTTTTAAATAATTATATTGTTGTATATTATTTTCTCAAATACGTATCAGTATATTGAACAAGATGTGTTCATGTGTCAAATTTTCTTTATTCAGTTTATCAGTTTGACTATATATTTGATTGGACCATGTTAAAGTATCCCCATGTGGGCTCTAGTTCTAGAGGAAGGGTAAGTTATTTGCTTGTTAATTTTCTATCTTTTCTTAAATATTTATTTATCTTTATTATGACCAGACAACTACAAAATTACCATTGAACCCTGGAATATCAGCAGAGAAAGCAGAAAGGACCCCAGGTTTGTTTAGCTTTCTTTTTTACTTAATATACTTGTATTAATTTTTTTTATTTTAATGAGAAGGAAATCTTAATGGTTGTTAATTTTATACCATTTTAGTGAAACAAGAGGTCCGAGATAGATTCTCAGGGGCAGTTGAGTCATTTATTAGAAGAAATGGTTCTAGTAGCGGCTTGCATGGTGATCATCAATCAAGGCATAGATCTTCAGAGAATGTTACACCCTCCAAGGATGCTGTGAGTAAAAATTAAAAAAATTTGACTTTTACATTTTTACCTATAAAAGCAATGTTCTTACATTTTAAAAATTGCTTTGACTTTGGATGATATTTGAAAAAAAACTTAGAAAATTTTATTTGTTTTTAGATACTTGGTGTGTGCGAGTAGGCATGAACCAACCCAATTCCCCCGGAGTTTTGGATCCTTCCATCTCTACTTCCTATGTATATATACAAGTTAATCTACTCGTATTCATGTCTCAAAGTGTGTATTCCAATATCAGGTATCACTATTTGTGCATTTACAAAAATTTGAAATATCTCTAATTTATTAAATTCAGCAAAAATGTGGTGTTATGGTCCACCTGGCCAAGTTAAGGTAACAACATATCTGCTGTTCAAACTTGAAAACCCTACTTGAATTTATATTCCATTCATCATCTAGAAAGTAGTTCCAATTAGAAACCATGTCAACTAAGTCAAGTTAGTTGGCTTAATTGCCCTATGTAGAAGGAATTCATATGAACAAATAATTTCATGAAAATGCTTTGTCTTCACCTCCAGTTCAGTCACCTGTATGTTAAATGACAAATCTACCCCCATAGGACGCATCCCCATGTTCCCATATACATAGAAAAACATAATATATTCAACAAGGAGCTTCAGTACATGAACAAAGTGAGGAGACATTATCCCTATCAACCCTACAAATAGTAACATTATTTCTACCAAGAATTCCCTTGGTGTTGGTCAAGCTCATAGATAATAGCCTTCTGGACGTGTATGTCATCATATTACATCCTCCAAATACTACCTTAACATATATTAGTTTTTTTGCAGCTCTCAATCTGATCTGGAAGCTAATTTGTTTAAGGTATATATATCTATCCCTGTTATCTCCATTATAGCCATGTCTGAGTTTTTACAGTATACCCTCCACATCCTTATCATTATAAATACTATGTTTTGTTTTGTAGGGTAAAAATGTGGATGCATAAATTCTTTACTTTGGAGAGGATCTAGCTCGGTGTCCATATGAACATGGTAATTATTAATTAACCACTAATTTACTTTTAAAATCTACTCTTTATATATATATATATATATATATATATATATATATATATATATTAATTTCACTGCATATATTTTTCAATTGTTTCAACTTTGAAGAACTTTGTGAGAACATTCAATCAAGCCCATGATGAAAACTGCAAGCAAATAGAGGCAGAAAATAAGAAGGTTGAGAAGGAAGCCTTAGAAGAAAAATCCAAACCAAATGATTCCAAAACCTCAGATGAAATTACACCAAAACCCAATGGTTGAAACAGAGCCTAATTGTCCCAATCACTTCTTACAATGTTGTATTGTTGATGCTGATATGAAGCAAAAAATGTTGATGCTATCAAGTTATTCAGTATTCTCTTTATTTTTTGTTATTTTCCAAAAATATTTAAATTAACATGTATTTTCTTTATGCAAAGGACTTAGCTGAAGAGTCTTGATGTTGCAGCATTGACTGTTGAAGTTCCTGCTGAAGATTGGGGAGATGAACTCAAATCTTGATATTGTTCCAAGTTTCCTAGAACTACTCAGAGTCTTACCTGAGGTTTTAAAATTCACCGGAAGCTTATCTATATTATTATTAAATTCGTTTTTGGAGTTGCTAATAATCTATTATTATGCTTTAAAACAGGAAGTTTTTAATTACAAAATAGTTGGACATCCTGATAGACATAGAAGATTTGAAAATTAACTTGCCTCTACAATGGATGTTGCTCTTGGGATTTTGATTGTTGAGTAAAGACTTGGAGTTGAATTTGATTTAAATCTTGCAGCATTATCAGCAAGATGCAGTAAAGACGTGGAGTTGAATTTGGCTAAGTCTTTATTGAGTGTGATGGGCCAATGTACAACTGCTTATCCATATAATCAGTTGTTTGGAGCATTAGTCTTAAAGAATTATGAAAGGCAAGATGAAACTTTAGTTAGTTGGAATTTGATGTACATAGTAGATTAGATGCAAATTTATATATTGTAAGAAATAGAATTGTATGACATTAAATTTATGCAATGGATTCTATTTGTTGTATATGATAGTTTATTTTCTATTGTGAAACATTAAATACAAATTTAATTTGAAAATAAGTAAATCTATAAATAATATTTTTTTTAAACATTTAAAATTATGATACGCAAAATGTGTGTCATCTTCATTTATGACATGGCCTTTCTTGACAGGGGCTTTCTTGATACGCATTGCATGTCATTAACACGCGCGTCGTCTTCCGTTATAACAGGGCCTTTCTTGATACGCATTGCGTGTCGTAAACGCGCGTCGTAATTCCGCGTTGTAAATGCAGGTCGTAAATTGTAACGCCCGTAGAACAGGGCTAGTCAATTTAGAGACGATAAGCGTCAAAAATGAATTTTTGATAAAAGATTATTTAGAATGAATAATCTTAACTAAGTTGTAGTATATGTTACAAGGATTCCGTACATATAAAGAACGCCGAAATCCGAGTTATAACGAAGAAGTTATGACCTGTCGAAGTTTCGCGACAAAACCGGCACCGCTGAATGATGTAAAAAGTGAAATTTACGTTAGAGTGATATTTAGCCTTAGTGATCTAAACGAGAATCGAAGATCTCGTTGTTAGTATCAAATCAATAAAAAGTTAGGCGGGAACGGACGTCAAACGAAGAAGTTATGAATTTATAACGAAATTTTCTGTCCCGGCCTGTTAAAAACAAATAATAAAAATAAATTCAAAATTAGCCGACAGAGTCTAAACGAAAGTTGTAGAGCGTAGTCTCACCTTCGTTTGGATATAAAGAACGTCGAAAACGGAGTTCGTACAAAGAAGATATGAATTTCCGAAGTTTATTAAATGATTTATATTTAATTTTAATTGGAAAATCCGGCATTATCCGAAGGCGAGTCACTGGACTCATCCGAAGTACGCCCCGCATACAACGAAGATGTTGACACTCGCACTCGAGGATTTCGGATGACGAACGCAGTGACGATTTCAGACCAGTACGCCCCGCGTACTCCGAGGCATCAGCCTCCTATAAATAGGATGCGAGGGCAGCCGGCTTCTTTGCTATTTTTCTCCATTCTCTCTCCCGTTTTGCCTCAATTTGCGTGCCAAAATACCCCGAAGCCCCGGTAATATTCCCGAGTCCCGAAGCAAGTCCCGAGATCCCGAAGATCCCGAGAAGTGCGGTTTCCGAGCCGAAGCTCTGCCCGCGAGAAGTTCGATTTTTGTAGAGATCTTTCAGATCTGCTGAGGATTTCTACTTTTGCAAGTCGTAGTGATGTCCGATCATCTTCTGATCAAGTGAGTGTATACTACCTTTCATAAACACGATAATAATACAAGTATGGTTTAAGTGTATTAAGTATATTATTGTTTATATGTGTGAGTGTGTGGTTACTTTCTTCTAACACATAAATATTAAGTATTTGCTATAAAATACATGCTATGTGTATAATATAAAGTTGTTTATATATGTGGGTGTATAGTCCCTTTCATAAACACGGGTATAATACAAGTATTGTTTGACTGTATTAAGTATATGTTTGGGTGAGTGTGTAGTTACTTTCTTTTAACACATAAATATGAAGTATTTGTTATAAAATAAGTGCTATGTGTTTATATATTGTTGTTTATTTGAGATGAGTGTGGAATGGATGTTTTATATAGTTTTTAAATGAGTTAAACTGTATCTGTATTTTGTATCTACAAATATGTTGGGTAGAACATGGGTTGATGAGATAGTTGGTATGTGATAAAACGACGAGGTATGAAAGATGATTAAGAATGATATTGGCAGATGCACCAATTAGAGAATATTATAATACTAGCAGATACGTTTCACAATAATATCGGTAGACGCACCAAGTAGTGAATGTGGAAATCCCGACAGATGCGCTTATAGGATAATCCTGGCAGATGCGCTTATAGGATAATGTCGGCAGATGCACCTAAAAGAGAATGTCATAAACCTGGCAGTCGCGCCTCATAGTGTATGACGTAATCCTGGCAGAGGCGCTTAAAGGATAATGTTGGCAGATGCGCCTTATGTAGCAATGGAAGTTTGTGCTAATTCCTTAGGTCAATCCTTAGGAATGAATGAATGAATGACGGGTAGTTAAATTCCTAGGGTAAAATCCTAAGGAAGATAATAGGGATGGGTAATTCAGTTGATTGTTTGATGGTTGAATATAATAATTATATTATTGTGGGTTGAAAACCCTATATGCTCACCAGGCTCCCAAGCCTGACCCACTCAGTTTCCTCTGTATCACAGGTATCAATACGAAGGCATATTTCACAGAGAGATTTAAAGGAGATATAAATCATTAGTGTAATTGAATGTAATTTCTATTTATGCTTATATGTATGTATCGGAACATGACATCCCAAGGTTTTATTAATAAACGAAAATACATTCTCTTTGAGAAATGTTTTGATAAGTTATTATCATATCTTGCATTGGGAACAAATTCCGCAACCGTTTTCTTTAAACGATTACTCTGATTTTTATAAAACAAAGCATAAATAAATCGGTCTTTTCTGGCCGTGAAAATGGGGATGTCACAGTTGGTATCAGAGCATTAGTTTAAGCGAACTAGGAAATTGTAGGAAATTTCTAGACTTAAACTTAGAATGCTTAGTAATGATTGTGAGCAGTGTGTCTAAAATATGTTAGGTAGTATACCCAAATTGACACAAGCACTAGTTTATTTTAGGAATGATGCCTAAAATGCTTTTATGTGCTAAATGTTTTGTGTGATAGCTATATTGGTGCTATTATTTGTTCGGATCTATGGTCTGTTGCCGACCGGATCTGGAAACCTTATGTGTTTAGGATTCTAAGCGTATGTCTACGATATTAGAACTAGCATGTAAACGTTTCAGAGTGATAATGATGATTTGAATATCTATCGTGAATAAGGATCTAATTTCACCTTATTCAGTGTATAGAAAAAAAATGGTGATAACAAGAAGTGGAGTTGGAAATGCTGATGAAAACAGGAATCAACCACCAGTGATTGAGCAAATACCTGTCATAGCAGCAGCACCTGAGCCGATAACAATGGCCGGTGTACAATTGATGATTCAGACGATGTTGGATCGTCAGATGGATGAAACGAGACGTCTGCTTGAACAGAATCGTGAAGAACTGTTAATTCAAGTGGAAGAGCCCGAAGTGAATGAAGGGAACTCGAAAGGTGGAAACTTTAGTGGATCTGTTGGTCAAGCCAACCCACCGATAGTTAGGCAAAACAACCAGAATGGAAGGAATGATGGAATGGGATGCAAGTATAAGGATTTTCTGACTTGCAAACCATTGACCTTCACTGGAAAGGAAGATCCGATCGGAGTTATGGATTGGATATCGGAAATGGAGCTAGCCTTCATGACTTGTGGCTGCAGGGGCAAGTTGCAGACTATCTATGCAGTGCGTCAGTTCCGAGGTGGAGTCGTTCGATGGTGGAACACTCTAGGGAAGATCCTAATCCCTAAGGAGCCACTGCAACTATCTTGGGCAGAGTTCTTGGTACAATTCAAGCGCAAGTTCTGCTCGGCCCAAAACCTGCTAGAGTTGGAGAACAAGTTTCTGATATTGAAGAAAGGTAGCATGTTAGTGGATGAATACACTAATGCCTTCAAAGACAAGATGGAGTTTGCTTTGCGCATCGTCCCAGACGAACTGACAAAGGTCGACCAGTACGCAAAGGGACTCCCTTGGGAGTATGCGGTGCCAGTGCGTCAGGCACCTACTCTAGAGGCAGCTATTTGGGCTGCCAAGTCTGTTGAGAATATGATCAAGGGGAGGACCGACAGTAAGGTTGAAGTTGACAAGAAGAGAAAGTTAGAAGGAACTTCAGGTTCTAATGAGAAAAGAAAATTTTCGAAGTCTGGAAGAGGAGGAAGGGATGAGGCAAGGTGGTGCGATAAGTGAAAAAAGAAGCACTCAGGAAAATGTCGTGCGGAGGTGACATGTTTCAAGTGTGGAAAGCATGGGCACTACGCCGATGAATGTATTTTCAACAAAAAGGTGTGTTACGAATGTAACGAAGAGGGGCACTTCAAGCAAGATTGCCCAAGGAAAAATCAAGCCGCAAGGCTAGAGGCAAGAGCATTTCAAATGATCCTTGATGAAGTAGATGGCAATGCAAGAAATCAGGAATAAGGATCTTATATCTAAAGATCAAGTTATAAAGTAGCAATATGAAAAGTATCATGTATGTTGCCTATTAGAGGCATAGTATAGGGTGAACTTGAACTTTTGTGTAATCGTTTTGAGGAATTAATATAAACCCTAGTTTTGCTAACTGATGTGTTGAATGATTGTCTGATTTTCTTGTATGGTGACTTGGTCGACTGCGGGACAATACTTGGGATGAGTATGAGTAGGTGTGAAAGATAGTAGATGCATATACTACCGGAAGCACAGGACTCGCACTTGGATCAGGGAAAGTCACAAGGTTACCAAGAAGCTAGTAATTGATTCCACTTTATTCTGGTATGTCATTACCGTTGTTTCGGTAA